TTTTATTTCTTTCTCCTTAGATCTATATTTTATCGGTGTCTTTGTTTATATATACCCCTATGAAGCACTTAAAAAAAAAAAAAAAAAAAGAAATGATTGTTCGAGCGGCGGCACGTGTTTTTGTTGAGCGTTGGATTTTGTTCGTCGTTGTTACAGATGGGCAAGCTTGGTAGCAATCCATTGGCTGGGCTCGCGGCTCTTGGCCTCGGAGGCCTTGCCACACCTGCCAACACCGGTGGGTTAAATCCAGCAGGTAAGTCGACAATTTATTGTTGTTTGGCTACTCTATACTGTGTAACTAGGCTGTGGATTTTTGAAGGGAAATTTGAAGATAGAAAGATTTAAAGTGCTTTTTAAAATATTTGCCACGTGAAGTAATTTTCTCTCAAGATTCGATTTTTTACAGTGTCTTTTCAAAAGTACGAACTTGCAAAAGAAAATCCGCAACACTATTATTTAGTAGTAAAATGAGTCTATTGGAAGCCAAACTAATTGACTCTTCGCTAGTTTCTTAATTTTATTTATTACGAGAATAATATTGTAGAAAATTCCAAAGTTATTTCTTCACTTTTAATTTTATGCAGTTGAAGAATATGGCTGCAAATTTTAATGTACTAACTCCAAATTTAAAAATTTTTTTAAATATTTTTTTACAGACTTGAGATATTGGAAAATAATTTTCCTTCGTAACACTAATTGCTGTTTGTTACAATACAGTTTCTTATTTGAAAAGAGATGAAAAAAAATTCAGAAATTTTCAGAATAATTTAATATCGCAATTCTATCCCTTTCTATTTTAATTTTTTTGTCATTCTCAGCATTTAATGTCAGAATTGTTCACACAATGTATTTTTGTAGTTTCACATTTTGAAAAGAAAAATTTAAGAGAAAATTATAATATAACATATGATTAATATGATATGTATGTGATATAATTGTATGCGATATGATACAGAGACACGAATTGTATGTTACTATTAATAATTGTATATTAAATTTTTCCTGATTTTATTTTTCAATTTATTCATATTTCTCAGTAAACAAATACAAACAAGCATCATCGTGTTTTAGAAAATTATTCTTTATAAGTGTTCTTACAAATGGTGTTTTTAAAAACTTATTCTTTAAATATTTGAAATTTAATAGGCGTGTGCGAACTTCTTCAAATTACGAAGAAGCTGTATGGCTGCGAATTTTTATGCATTTATAGAAAATTCGAAGAAAACACTTAATAAAATATACTTACACGATGCACAGAACTGGACAAAAATATCCAAAGAATGGAATATTTATTACGAATGAAACAAATTTCTATGTCAAAGCCTCATTTCTTTTAATCGCAAAAATATAAAATTACAAAAATCTCGGTTATTTATGAAAAGGAAAAATGAATATAAAAATGCATAAAAGTCTTCAGGCTATTTGTAGTATTTTCCACGTGTGTCTAATGTGGCCGTGATCTTTCGACAGCGTTGGCGGCACTCGCTGGTAGCCAGCTACGCACCAGCAATACAAACAGGCAACAACCAGCGGCGAACAATCAGACGCACGAGATGACCGTGCCGAACGAGCTGATCGGGTGCATCATCGGCAAGGGTGGCACCAAGATCGCCGAGATCCGTCAGATCTCCGGCGCCATGATCAGAATCAGCAACTGCGAGGAGAGGGAGGGTGGTGCCACAGATCGTACGATCACCATCACCGGCAATCCGGACGCTGTGGCATTGGCACAGTATCTCATCAGCATGAGGTGAGTACACGGTGGCAGAGGAGCATAGATATCACTCCAGTTTGTCCGACATCTTGAATAGAAAACGAAAGAAGAAGAAGATGAAGATGAAGAAGAAAAAAAAAAAAAAGAAAGAAAGTGGAGAACGTTGAACGTTTTGTTGGCAATGCAGATTTTATTGAAAGAGAGGAAATTTTAGGAAATATACACAGTTCACTCATTCACTGGTTAATCTATTAAGGGACATTTGATTAATTCCTTTTTTAATTCACTCAAAATGTTGGAAACTATTTCTTGGGGGGAAGGAAATCTCAAAGATTTGTCGAATAGGTTCTTCGTTTCTTTAACTTTGTTAAGTCAACTTTATTTTATGAAATTTAATAATGATAATAGTATTATTAATAGTATTATTTTATAATGATATTGTAATAACAGTGACAGTCTCTTTTAAATCGCGAAAACTTCTTCCATCTACCTGATTCGCGTAAATAAACATAAGATACAATATCACGTTCATAAAATTGTTTCTTGTATCTTAACAAAACAGTTTTTTTAATCATTAATGGATTGACTTTCAACAAGTATCTGTTTCCTCGCAATTAACATCCGCATCACTCGTAGAGTATTATCAGATACGAAATATATGCGTTCCAATCTATCGTTCAACGTTCTCCCCCCCTTTCAAAAAGAGGGAAAAAAAAAGATTCACTTGATTTCTCTCTATTCACGAGAGAGGACATTGTTTAAAAATACTTCCATTATCCCCCATCGGTACATGTCGAACTCGTCCCGGCTACGTATTGCGATATATTCGCGACACATCACCATTACCCCTACGCCCCTACCCCACCCCACCCCCCGTCGCCCCTAACACCCTTGACTTTCTATCCCTTTTCCAGATCCAACGATGAAACGATCGTCGGACCGGATCTTGACTTATTATGTGTACATGTCGCCGATGTAGAATTTTTTTTCCCCCCCGCGCGAGATTTCTCCCCACCCCCACCCCCCTAACGCCCACACCCCCAGACAGAGAGTATGGAAGCCCCCAAAAAAACCACCCCCGCCTCACCGAAAGACAAAAAAGAAAAAAGAGAGAAGAAGAAGAAGAAAAAAGTGAAACAAAAAGAGAAACACCCCTCCCCCCCTTTTGATTCGCCTGTTTTTTTTTTTTTTTTTTTTTTTTTTT